CTCTTTCGAAAGAGGCTTGCAGTCTAGACATAGCCGAAGAGATCTTCTGAAAAAACTTATTTTAAAAGAGAGCATCCACACAGCAAAAGCACATCCAAAAAGCAATCTGCTTTTTCAAAAGATAATGTCCACATTGATTGGACACTATCTCTCATTTAAGTTGTGATTACTATGGATGGAGTGGCCACCAGAGCACTTGTGCTTTTTCCTGCAGGCCTCTTCTTTCGAAAAAAAAAACAAACCCTGTTCCCCATCCACACGCACCTTTTTCCGAAAGCTCTTTTGGAAAAAGGCTTTTTCCTCAGAGAAAGAGGTTTACCGCTGTTGGAAAAAACCCTGCTTTCTTTCAACTTTCTGTTGAAAGAACATAATTGCAGTGTGGACATAAGTGTAGTTTTTCTGGAAAAATGGCTGTTTTTCCAGAAAAACTCTGCAGTGTAGACATACCTCTTTAAAGGGACAGAGAAAAAGTGAAAAGAAATGAAGAAAAGAATGATAGCTAAAAGCATACCTTCCTTCTCTCTCTCTCAAACAAAAACCAAATCTAAAGACAGAAAACACCACCTACCACATTGCAGTCATTTTTTGTCATTTTTTTCTTTGTAGCTTTCTTCTTTATTCCCTCCTTTAAAGGGACAGAGAAAAAGTGAAAAGAAATGAAGAAAAGAATGATAGCTAAAAGCATACCTTCCTTCTCTCTCTCTCAAACAAAAACCAAATCTAAAGACAGAAAACACCACCTACCACATTGCAGTCATTTTTTTCTTTGTAGCTTTCTTCTTTATTCCCTCTCTCCTTTCACTCCTTCTCTCTCTTTTGTTCCTTCTCTTCCTCCTTTCTTGTTCTTTCCTTTCTGCCCCCCCCCCATGTGCTTTTGAATTGTTGAATCCAAGGGGAAGAGGGAGTGAAAGTATTGGAAGGTCTTTTATCTTCCACTCCCACACCATCTCCATGTGCTTTGGCTGCTCTATTGCTGCTAGCATTAAAGCACATGGACAAAGATCACACACACTGGAAAAAGGTGCCTGAATGACATACATTGCACAGGAGACATTCAGCAAGGCTGTTTCCTTGGCCTGCCCAATCAGCCCTATGATGTCTGTGAAATATTTCTCAGGGACTACCAATGTTTCTCAGGCTATGAACTACCATTGTAGGAATGCTTAAAAGCAAGGTATATGTCCAGCCTGTATTATATACGCTTTCCCCACAGTCTCTTAGTCTAGCACATGATTTTTGACTGTAACAGCTTCTATTTTGCTAGACCCAGTCTCCCCACACACAGCTCTGCTAACAAATCTGACCCGCACCCTCTGCTAGTCCAGTGCAGGGTGTTTCTCGATAGATCCCAGTGGCGGTGAATTGGGTAGTGGTGTTTACATTCAGAAAACATGCACTTGGGAATGTTCTGAGGTTGACACATCTAATCTCCATTAGCTTGGAGAGTAGGATTACAGAAGCTGATCACAAAGATGGGCATCCTGTCTGGAATTATCATCTACTGCTGCACCATGGGGTCACCATACTTAACATACAGAAATGTCAATATAACTACCTCTTAAAATTGCATCAAAATGCAGATTATGTAGAGACTGTAAATATCACATTTTGTTGCTGCCTATGTTTGCATGGTGAGCAACTTTGGTATCATATCTGCTTACTGCTTTGACAAAAGCAAGCATTTAAAGTACTGTTATCCCCTTGGAGGAGAGAGCTTGATTCTCATCTTCCTCACCCATCATCAGTAAAATCTAAGTGTTAAATTCAGATCCCAACTGTTGTCTACTAAATTTAATACAGAAGTCAGGAGTCCTGGATTTTAGTTCTGGCTGTGCCACAATGCGACCCCGGGGCACTTTACATTTTTGGGCCTCCGCTACGCCATCAGTACTGAAGGACAATGACACTTACTCAACCTTGTAAAACACTTCGAGATCTACAGCTAGAACAAGTTATAGCATTTCATAATTACTGATGACTGTGTCTGAAGAAAAGAGAATCCAACTAGTATTTCACATCCCAGTTTAATAATACTATTATAACAACACACAGCTCATACATTCTTTGTCTCTGGTCTGTCTCAAAGTGCTTCATAAAAGAAAGAGTCACTATCTCAATCATGGATGGTGGGTGAAGGTGGGGCCAGAGGAGGGAAGTCCCCAGCCCTGCCTCCAGTCCTGACCTCCTTCCCCCCCCTCCCCCCGCCATAGCACCATGGGAGGGTGAGAGTGAGAGCCCCAGCCTCCTTGGCCCTGGAACACAGGAGGCCAATTGGTGTATGGCCCCAGTCTCGCCGGCCCCGGAGCATGGGGAGGGCAGGCAGCATGCATTGCCAGTCTCCCTAGTCCTGGAGCATGGGGAGGGTGGACAGCATGTGGCCCCAGCATCCTTGGCCCCAGAGCACAGGGAGGGCAGGTGGTGCATGGCCCCAGCCTCCCTGGCTCCAGAGCCCGAAGAAGGCAGAAGGCACATGGCCCCAGCCTCCTTGGCACTGGAGCACGGGGAGGGCGGGCAGTGCATGGGCCAGCCTCCACATCCCTAGAGCGGGAGGGCGCTCTGGAGCAGCAACATTCTTCCCCCAGTACTGTAGGCCTTCTGGGGGCAGAGTGCAGGTGGGGCCAGGCTGGTGGTTTGGGAAGACAATGCCTTCCCTCACTTATGATACTTGGCACCCATGATCTCAGTTTATCAGATTTCCTCCTCACCTTGCAAACTCAAGCAGATCTTAGTTTTAGCTTTGCACATAAGATGGAACTCTTGTACAACTCCTAAACACAGTTCCTGCTTCAGGGAGGGTGGTACATACTTCATAGTCCCTGTATAAACTTCCACCCCAAGTCTATACATGGATTTGGTGAGAAAGGAGAAAGAGTGACTTTTACTTCTTTACCCTTCTCCCAAACTAGCTTCAAAGCTTTTTTTTTTT